ACTGTGCCAACAGAAGTATCCTCGTCACGACTTAAACATCATTTAAAAACTTAAACAAGCTATCTGAAACTGTACGACTTTTCAAAATTTCCAAGAAAATATTAAAATTAAAGTGAAAATTATTAGTGGAGCAATCAAAATTGAAGATAACAAAGATTATGTTCTGTTGCAATGTTAGCTAATTTAGAATTTAAGTTATTTATTTTCAAATATCTTCGGTGCCTATAATTTAAATGAGTTGGTGAATAAAATAGATACATTTTGCAAACAAGCTGTCGTCGATATACTTGTAATTATTTGTTTTACGGCAGGTGATTCTTGGCCATTGAAAATATCGACGGCAAGCCAAGTTCTCCTTCACTCAGGCAGGTATGCAACAAATATTCCTAGAAGTTAAAATAGTGGTATCAAAGTTTAAGACGGATTGAAGACCGAATGTGACTATCGAATCTCCGATCAGTCATCCGTAAAACTTTATTTGGCCTTGCAAGCTATAATTTTATCAGAATATTTGTATTTATTCATATCAATGTTTCTCTTACTTTACTTGATAAAGCAGGTTGAATACATTACACCGGCAGGTAAAAAAAATACCTCACATATAACTTTAAGATAAATGCACCTGATGAATTTTTGTTTGAGATATTTATGAACAGGGCACAGAACAACAAACTCTTTAGTATCTCACATGACACATACAAATACAAGGTAGATCGTGTTGAATGCGGAAAAACTTACAGACAGAGGCTCCTAAAAATGTATTCTTGATTCTTAAAGTGTACACGAAAATGCTCCGACGAGTGGTTTGATTTAATTTAAACTACAACTCATTCATCACGATGAGAGGAGTTTAATATTTGGAATTCCGATTTCGACTACTGATTTGGAGAGTGCCTCGAAGGTTCCTAAAGTTCTTCTAAGAATGAATCATGCCTGGTGTTGTTTCAAAAGCCCCGAAGCAGGAAAACAGTCCTTAAAATAATATTTATCACTCGTTTAATCCTACACCGTACGCTTTTATGTCCTGAATTTGACTTACGCTATCGATTCGATCCGATAGGGCAAACCGGGAGTCTTTTCCTCGGTAATTTATTAGTTTTCGGCAGGTGGTCAGTGCGCATGCGCACGGTGCAGCTTTTCCTGTTCGGTTCATCGACTCGGCGACACCTTAAATTGTTACGACGCTCGCTCATGAGGAAAATAGGCCCGTCTTGACTAATCGAGGGGGCTATAAACGCGATCAAAGGTAAACATTGGCCTTGATAATTTTTACAGCAAGTATCTTGGAGGGCTTACATAAGGAAACCGGTTGATCAGAGGCGGATCCGGCAATTTTGGCAGCACCGGATTTCCTCCATTTAAACCTATGCTAAATAATCGATTCTTGTCGGAGCACCTGCCCCCGCCCCCACAGAATCGATAAATTTCCATAGGTTTAAATGGAAAAGACACGGTGTTACCAAATTCCTGGATGCGGTTGATATAATAAAAAGGGAAGTAGAGATATAGTCGAAGTTTTTCCAATAATTCGCAGACTTTCGAATAACCGCAAGAACCGTCTATCACAACCAGTTTTTTCAGGAAATCTTACATGTTGAAAAAAGAAATTTCAATGAGAGGCTCAGTACGGAAGCCACACTCAAATACCTTCATTCCTTCCTTGCACTACTCACATCGGCCATACCTTCCATGAAATTTCGGGTATTTTACGATTAAGCTTTTCGTCAAACTGATCAAAATTGCACTCAGCGCAACTGAAACTAGAAGAAAAGAAAAATTCCGGTAATCCGTTGTACTACAAAGAAAGAACACCGTGAGATCACCAGAAAAGGGCTAAATATTCCCTACACCCTTCGGAAAATTATTCATTTTTGAAGAAGGACAAGTATTTTCGTCATTGAGATTTTCGGACACATTTCAGTTAGAATTGTAATTAAAATTCATAAATTACAGAAAAAAATTGTCACAAAGTTTCCCAAAAATTCATTCATTCAACACAGAAAATCGGCAAAATTCGAATGCTTATTTAATCAGCGTTTCTTCCCACAGCGACTAAGATGACGTCACGACCAACTCGGCCCGTAAAAAAGTGTGCGACCCGTCGCCGTCGGTGTCGCGTCGGGTCGAAGGCCTGAAGATGAGTCAAACCTCTTGCTGCGTGTCCTGAACTCGCAAGCGCGTCGCGCCACGCACGGCCGGCCGGCTGATTTTCGCTGGCGGTTAGTTCTGAGGAGGACGAGCGCGACCGGGCGGCCACCAGCTGGTGTGAAATACAGGACCCGTTGTTCGAGCGTGAGTGTGACGTCATATAAACACGTCTGAGGCTCCGGGCCCGAGTCGAAAATCACGTTCGTCTCTTAACAGACTTGCATGTGAATTGATCTCGCCATGATAGAACTTGACATCACTGCCAAGTAGGAAAAAAAGTCTTGACGGGTTCCGTTCCGACAACGTTTGCTTCCCGTACATCATGAAATACGCTACGTTGAATTTCGGAATTTTTGACCTCCTCTTACGCTTTTGTGACGTAGGTCCATATCGATGAATAAACGGCAGAAATGCGTATTTCGGTTAGCGGCGCCACAGCGAATCAAGTCAATGGGAGAAGTCGGACAAAATTTGGAATTATAAGCTTATAACTTCGTTAAATAAAAATTTTGAGATTTTAAAGGTGGTTCCATTGCTTTCCTCGAAAAATTATTTTCTAGAGGCACCCTTTGAAATTTAAAATGTGACGAAATAAACATCAAAATCTGCAGTTTTAGTCAAAAATATCATGTCCCACCTCAGACATATATAGACATATATAGACAGCTCCCGCGGAAAAAGGGGTAGGGGCTTAGCCCCAATGGGACATTTCCAATTCATTAGGGTAGTACCCCAATTTTTTGTGGTAGTACCCCAATTTGTTGTGCTAGTACCCCAATTAATTAGGTTATTAACACAACTGTTGCGACGCTACCCCAACTTGAGTTGCCGTACTACCAAAATGAATTCAAAATGTCTACAGCATCCGACAAATTGGGTTGATGCCACAATTTTAGGGGTTAACCCAACCCCTGACAATGTTTTTCCCGTGCCTGGCCGCAGATTTCAGAATTAGACTATAGTGGTACAACGTGAAGATTCTCTCTGAGACTAGCACTGAAGATAAAGCTTGAGCTCTAGAACAGGTGTTTGTTGCTGGCTCACTGTCAGCGGCAGAAGACGAAAAATCTGAAGATTGACAACGTGACGCGGGGAGGCATCCGTATCTGATTCGAGGCCGGGTTGTTGACAAATGCCCGGCGTACGTGGCGCGACTCCCAGCCGGGGCCGGGGCCGGGCACAAACTCGCTCCGAGCTCGTTTCGCGAAAAAATCGAGTCACACATCAAGAAAACGTAATCTCTCGGCGCCTTTGAGACTTCATCATATCCTCCCGTCACTCTTAAAATCCCCTCCCTCTTAGCCCGGGCAAGAACCTCGAATCTCCACCGGGTTTCCCAGGAACTTATGGGGTTCTTACTTAGCCTACGTTGCCTCCGGGCCTAGGGGTAGGTGGGTAACGTCTTCCTCTGCCCCCCCCCCCGCACTCCACCCCGGCCCCTGCGAGGCAATATTTTCTCGCCTGCCTCCGACGAGTGTGTTCGCCGGTTTGCCGTCGACGATGTGAAGGCGCAGTTTATTTTCTTCCAATTAAGCGCGTCTTCCTTCAACGTTGCCGCGTTGGGCAAAGAATGCATTGAGCTGAAGAACGGAGACTCTAACTTGCATTGCATTACAAGATAAACTCTAACCCTTCATTTAAATATACAAGACTTTTTTATACGCCAAGTCCACAGTCGAGCAAATTGGCACATATTTAAATACATTGATTTTGATAGTTTTTGCATTATAATTCGGGAGAAATGTTTTAAAGAAACAAAGCAAGATTACGTTTTTCTTATCTGTGGTTGTGTCTCTCACGTAACCCTTGAAGCAACAAGACAAGTAAGATAAACGAAACCAACATAACATAAAAATAGAGCAAGAGAAAAGATGCGCGTTGATGACGGCGCGGAGATACAACTATTCGTGCTTGATGGATGTCCGTGTTGTATCTGTAAAATTGAAGGCGCAATGGCGTGAGGAGTGAATTCGCAATGCTCCACTCTATGTTGCCAATGAAATGCAGCTCAGATTCAGAAGAAAAGGTAAAAAACGAGGCCCGATAATGCTGCCCTATCCCCGGCTGTGTTGCTCACGAAGCCCTTGAAGCAAAATTAAAAAGTAAGAAAAACGAACCAACACATCGTGCAAATAGAGCAGGGGAAAGGATGCACGTTGATGACGGCGCAGACATACAACTATTCGTGCTTGATGGATGTCCGTGTTGTATCTAGAAAATTGAAGGCGCGATGGCGTGAGGAGTGAACTCGCAATGCTCCGCTCTTGGCTGCGCGAAAAAGCTGTCGCTTAGATTCGGGAGGATAGTTTAACAAACGAGGCAAACGAGGCCCTAATACGTCTGTCCTATCTCCGGCTTCGTTGCTCACAGAGCCCTCGAAGAAACACTAAAAGTAAGACAAACGAACCACACTATGGAAATAGAGCAGGAAATACGTTGCGCGTTGATAACGGCGCAGACATACAACTATTCGTGCTTGATGGATGTCCGTGTTGTATCTACAAAATTGAAGGCGCGATGGCGTGAGGAGTGAGCTCGCTATGCTCTGCTCTTGGCTGCGCGTATAAGCTGTCGCTCAGATTCGGGAGAAAAGTTTTAAAAAAACGAGGCCCAAATACGTCTCTCCTATCCTCGGCTGTGTTGCCACTCAACTTTTTCCTCTTTTTTTCTAACACTAAGTCTGATTATAAATTAAGGTGTGTTTGCAGACCTTCACATAAAGCTCGTATTTACCGGTCCAATACAACCCGCGGGGCTGCGGGTTTTTCAGCAAGCGTCGGGTCAATTTGAATACACCTCGACTATCTCAATTTTAAAGCAAAATAATGACAAGAGAAAGAGACGTGACTTACCAAAAAGATACAGCTATGCAACAGGTTTTCTTTCTGTAAAAAAAGAGAAAACACACTTTAGTTTTGATTTGTTATCCACAATCGTATTTTGCGTGAATTTTACTTGGTTGAATTGGCAATTCTAGACTCTTAAAGGAACTCCTTTCTGGCGAAAATTTGTATTTCAGAGGCTTTCTCCGACTAAACTTCAGTATACTGGCTTACGACCGAAATCCGACAGCTGAAGTCCGTTTCAGGCCTCATCCTGGCGCGGCGCCATGGTTTAGGCGAAAATGACCCCAGCGGGCTGATTGTTGAAATTGATAGACAAAGCTATAGATAAAGAGGACAAAATGGGTATGGAGGGATTTTATTCGTGAAAGCGGGTTAACTAACTAACGGCAACCCATGAGAGATACCGTCTTTACTCCATCATTTTCTCCTTTAGTCTACAGGAACAACCCATATCAACCAATAGGATCGCTCCAGACCCCCTTGGTCCTCTTCGTCTATCGCTTTGTTCATCAATTTCAACAATCAGCCGGCAGTTGTACGCAATATCATAAAATCGTGTTTTACTCCACGGGTTAGATATTAAAATTGGCGAAAAGTAGCTCAATATCCGACCAAAGGGAAAATTGGCATAGACGGAATGCATTAACTTCCTGGTTGGACGTGATCCTTACTTGCTTGCACGTCCATGTGACATAGTAAATACAAGAGCACGGATGAGAAGCGCTAATCGAGGAAGATCAAGCATCTCTACTTCTCGCACCGTGCCTGCGGATGACACTCACCGACTCATCCCCTAGCCGCGCACTCCTCCATCTTCTCCACCTTATATCTATATGCTGAGGTAATCGAGTGACAGTGCCACACTGATGAGTCTGATCCATGGTTACTAATTTGAGCGTTTGAAAAGAAGGGTTGTCTTCAGCTTCAGCTGCGAAAATAGAGGGAAAGAAGACTACATTTTGGGCCCGTTTATATAAACTGTGCGTAACGCTGAATCTCAGAGTTTCCGAATCGTCGTATATGGCATTACATACACCCTATGCTAAGATACGATTATATTCTCTGAAAATGAAATCTTTTTTTCGGAGAAATTTGGCAAATATCAAAAATGCTTTTACGGCGATTTTCCTTGAAGGTTTGCAGGACTTAAACGTGTAAAGATCAGTAAAAGAGACAAGTGAGTGCAGAAATTAAATTTGGAGAATATGGACCTGATGACATCAGAGCAGAAAATCCTATTGAATGAATCCTTCGTTCTTCGTTATTTGTTAATTATCATCCAAAAAATGATACAAATTATTCGATTGGAAAGGGTCTCGATAATTTCATGTTCGGCAGGAAGACAATTCGTGCTGTCTTCTGCTTGCTTGTGTGGTTACGTGTTTTACAAACGACAATAAACACATTTCATGGTTAGAAATTGACGGAGAACGGTATCATTGGCGGATCCAGCAAACTGGCAAAATTGTATTTTTTCCATTTAAACCCATGGAAATGTATCGATTCTTGGAGGAGCCAGGCGCTCCGACAAAAATCGATTATTTAGCATAGGTTTAAATGGAGGAAATCCGGTGTTGCCACATTGCTGGATCCGCCTCTGAAGAACGGTATTATTTACTCGAGACGGAAGTTACTACAGCTTTCAAGGGGAATAATGTAGATTTACGACTGCTTTGGCGAAAACGACGTAAGCTTTACGCACTTACTGCTTCCTCATAACTCTCCGTTTTTTTTTTAAAAAAAAAGAAGAAAAAAATGCTTTGTTTAAACGCGACCTCCGTGATTTCCTCCGAAACTTGGCAGGCGGAGTCTCACTCGATGCACGAAAAAAATGCGGTCTCACGAAATTTTCTATCTCTAATTTTTAAATCCCGAGTTACAATGGTGGCTCGTATCATTTTATCTCGTATTCTCCTCTCGGTGCGCTTCCAGTACGGACTCACCGTACGCCCACGCACTGGGAGCCTTAGCCTCCTTCATCCCTTGATGCGCTTAAGTAGCGAGGGAGCTTTGAAAAGTTTGCAGCACCACCTACTTAATATTCTTATCAGATTTGTCGGTTACTGAGACGAGAATTTGAAGCACCTAGACCTCCCGGCTCAGCACTCCAGTGGCGTTGCGTGAATGTATCGATCGTTATTCTATTTAAACCTACAGTATAGAATCGAATATTAAGGTGTTCACTGCTAACACCCTGTTTATCGATCCTTTTCCATAGGTTTAAACGACAGATCAATCGATAATCGCAAAGCACGCCACGCCGTTGTCTCCTTCCAAAGCCGTGCCTTAACTTTCGTATCTAATAGGCCTCATCGCTAATTTTCGTTTTCTTCATGCCTCCATGGGCGGTCCTCGCGACTCACCAACTTCAAGGCTATTATCGAATTTTCTTCTCGGTTAAATTGACTGAACTTTGCGTAGGATCTTTCAGTTTAATCTAGGACAATGAGAAAAAACCATGATCGAGAAAGACGTCCATTTTTATGAGGGTGTCACCCGGATTCTTGGATCACTAGTTGACCCTTTAGTAGGCAAGAAACCCTTATCCGCCGGGGTAAGTTTTCAGGAAAGCCGTTTTTGTTGATATGGGTCGATAATTCAGGGAAATTATACGATATTAAAAGTTAAGAGCCTTCGTAAGGAATACAATAGTATTCAGTGTCCAGTTTGTCAATGCTGAGAAGGTCTCTTTCCTTTGGACGGTTATCACACTTGGACCAGAATAAATCCCAATGAATTAAACAGAATCAGCGTGACTACATTAGGCATTACTTAATTTCCTCGCATATTTCGCACTTTTTACATAAAATCAAGCAACGTTCTGCGTTGAAAAAATTGTTCTCTAGTTCTAGGGAAAATCATAGAATAAAAGCGTTTTAGTGCTCAGTTTTTTATCACTGGAAAAAAAAGTCGCTTGGATCTAGAGTCCAGAATCTTAAAAACATCGACAAGAAAAAATACTCTTGATTCAATCGGATTTTTGCTTGAATCGAGAACCAAGTCTCTTAGTTTAATTTCCTTTTGATTCAAGCAAAAAGCCGATTGAATCAAGAATATTTTTTCTTGTCTTTGTTTTCAAGAGTCCGGACTCTAGATCCAAGCGACTTTTTTTCCCAAAGATGTACAAAGTTGCATACGAGAGAAAATTCGGCAACCTACGATGTAGTTAGTATGGTCCTGGTTAATGTATGTATAGTTATGTATACAGTTCATGAACGGCGGCACCGACCACCAGTCTCCAAATAACAAATTAGTTATAATTTCCTCGACCTTGTCTGCGTCAAGATTCCACGACATCCCGTAAAGCCCCGTAAGTATAACGGAGGACCGTGATAACAGCTCGGGTAATTAGGTTGCGTAAGCAGGGTCTATTTACGGCACACGTTGCTTACATTGTCAGACAAACGAGGCAATTAGGGCGCGCAGAAGCTCCGGAGCGTTTTCCCGACAAAAAATAGACGGTCGAGGTCTTTTCCCCTTTCTTCCTTCCTCGGATGAAATATGATTCAGATATCCTGCCAGAGATTGGAAAAGAGAGCATTTAAAAACCAATCACACGAAACGAACCCGGGTTTATGATTGTTTCCGGTCTTCTGCGTCCTTCATTTCCGTTTCCCGCACGGTCCTGGGGACTGATTACCTCTTGTTTTCGTTTTATTACCTCTCTCAAAAGAACGGAGCATTGTTCGTGATTTTTTCTCGGCCGGGATCCGTGCACGCGGGGTGGAGGCACTAATATTTTTCAGTAATGCTCCCCCGTTTCTCCTGGCAGCCCATGTTCTTCATGTATACAACCCCCCGCTCTGCTTTTTTCTTGATTTAGAGATAACTATTCTCGCATGTAGGGACGAAGCAGAGGTACAAAGTTCGGCTGTGATTTTGTAATTTGTAGTCTTCATGTAGCTCAATTCATTCCATTAAGTTTTATTGCAATTTAAGATAATTTTTGCCTGTTTGTTTGTTTGTTTGTTTGTTCACTGGAAAAAAACACATTGGATCTAGAGTCCAGGCTCTTAAAAACATCGACAAGAAAAAATGTTCTTGATTCAATCAGATTTAAGCTCAAATCAAGAACCAAACCTCTTAATTTGAGCGGATTTCCTTTTGATTTGAGCTTAAATCTGATTGAATCATGAGTCCGTTTTCTTTTCAATGTTTTCAAGAGACTGGACGCTAGATCCAATGTGTTTTTTTTTCCAGTGTTTGTTTGTTTGTTTATTTATTTACTTTCTCAAAACAGATTGAGCGCTAAATTAACACTAAAATGATAGTTTGACAACTTACAGACATACACATTTTGAGAAAACTTGTATCAGATGTTCCCTATGAAAATCAAGATATAGAGGATATATACATTAGTCATATTACAACTCCCCCCTCCCTTTTTGCGTACATATAACATTGTGATTTCTTTCTTAAATTTTTAACCAAAACTAACGGAACACCTCAGGAAATCGGCACTTTGCACCCCCCCCCTCGTGAAATCAAATCAGCTCCTTCCCCATCTATAGGTATACTCATACCTACCAAGAGGAGTCAAAGAAAATTCTGGTAATTTTGCGATAGGGAAGACTTGAAACACATCGTGAATGCTTTATACGGAAAAAACAATTTTCCATGATGTTCTAGAGGATCACCTCTGGTCCGCTCCCGCGGGACGTGGGACCAGTGGCGTGGCGTGCTTTGCGATTCATCGATATTTCCCCATTTGAAGCTGTGGTAAATAATCGATTATTAAGGTGTTCGCTGCGAACACCCTGTTTATCGATACTTTTCTATAGGTTTAAATGGCCGATCAATCGATACATCGCAAAACACGCCACGACACTGCGTGGGACGTACTCAAAAACCGAAACGGATCGCCCGTTCTGTTTACTTTCAATTCCGAACCTCCTCGTCCAGCAAGTCCGAACTCCCACGCACACAGTGGCGATTCTTGAGAGTTGGCAGCACTGTTTTTCCTCCGTTTAAATGTATGAAAAACGATCGATTTGGCTGAGGCAGCTTGTCGTGCTTAAAATCGATAATTTTAATGTCTT